CCATTTTTCTACATATCTGTAGTCTTTTTATCAATGTGTGATCATAAAATGCCAAATAATTCATCTTTTATAGGTATTTTAATAAATTTTTCTTTTTTTATATACATAAGGAGTAATGATCCTATAGGACCCTCCCATGCGTGTAGGACCTCAAAGGATCACCATTAAAGTTGGCATGGATCTCAAAAAAATTATCACATGAGTGTGAGATTTGACTTTTCTAGAGACTAGTACCAACTTTAATGGTGATCTTTGGGGTCTACACACATGGGTGGGAGAGGGCCTTATTAGATCATTTCTCATACATAAAACACCAAAATCTAAAGATAAAATGACATTTAGTGGGACCCAATCCTTCCCTTATCTTCCTACCCACCGGTGGTACATTGATGACCTCTAGATCATATTGTTATGATCACCATATAGATCATATTATACAAAAAATGAAAAGCGAAATTAGCCATTTGAAACTATCCCTAAACTACTTTCCAAACAAGAGGGTGATAATTCACATGATCATGTTGTTATTATAACTGTTGAATTACATGGCACATATCTTAGGCCATATAGATCACCGTCATTTTCATCATCATTATACTTTTTTTTTATAACTCTTTGGAGTTAGCTACATAAATCCTAGTTCACCATTTTACTCTAAGCCCATATAGATCATAGTCTATATTTTTAGTATAGATCATATCAACACCTCCCGATCCTGGGATATATTGTTAATTGAACTAGTTGCCATGATATAAAGAAAACCACCCTCTAAATAAAGCAAGCTAACCCCTAAAGAACCTAAAATAACCTGTTGCTAAAGCATCAATTCACCCATGAACGATTACAAAGAGGTTCAAGAAGAAAATGATGTAACCACTAATTAATGTTGGTGCCCACCACCCTTTGCTAAAGCATCATCTTCTATATTAGCCTCTTTAAAACAATGAGCTAACTCAAAAGAACCACTATTTAAAATGAAAACGTTTCCATTGAAAATGCTACATAATCTCCAAGGTGGCTTCATTTCTCCTTTTGCTCAAGCAATGAGATTGCTTGAATTACCTTCAATCATCTTTTGGCCCTTGATGTTCTTTATTATCTTTAAACCCTCTAAAAGAGCTCTTGCCTCAACTTCATTCACTATTGTATATCAACATGGCCCCAAATAGGTGAATTTGTAATTATCCACATAATCCCTAATGGTACCAACATAAAATACATCAGATTCTCTCACACAATTGTGACGCCATGATGTGAAGTTCGATTCTCCCACTCCTTAGGCACTGACCATCTTAGACAACCTCTAAACACAATAGGAGGAATCAATGGTCAACACCTAGCACAGGTAAAAGAACTTCATGGAACAAGAGGCAGATAGGGAGCCATTAAAATAAATAAAAAAAAAGCCTTTTGTGAGTCAGCGAACTCACTAGCCCGCACGATTACAAACGTTTATTTTTAAGATGAACATCCACAACTAAATATTCCTATCCAATTGATAGAAAAATATTCTAATAAAAATATTCTAAAAGTTTATTTTATTATATATTTTTTTTATGTTCATGATCATTATAATGTAGATCATGGATCACTAAAAATTTGGATCCAAGATCGATACAAATAATGAGCGTTCAAAGGAGCCCGCATGAAAATAATATGAGTCGGGGAACTCATAATAACCGGGTCCTAAAAAGATAAAAAAAGGCCTTCTCTAGGAGCTAGGGTATTCCGTAGGCCCAATAAGAAGAACCCCACGTGCTAGTTCACGTGGCCTATCCTCACTCTCCTCTATCTCAAGTAAAAAAAGTCTTTTCCAAGAGACCCACATGCCTTTTCTTGAGCAATGTGAGTCCACAAGTAAGCCCTATCCTCTTTCTTAAAACCCCCACATACATTCTCCAACTAGTATTTTTAATGCATGATGATTTATGTACAATTATTTAACATAAGGTTCTTTCAAAAGATGAAAGGCTTTTTTATTAGAGAGTTATACCATGCACCACCAACTTGTAGTACTTTTGCACCAATGTTTGTGGTGTATACTAAACCATAAGCCATCTACCATCCATTTTTTATTTTAACGGTCCGTCGTTCGATGATTCGGACGATAAGGACATTGTCTATCATATACTAGATGCGAATTTCAAATGTGTGTGCATTTTGTATACATAATTCTCTTAGACAGAATTGCTACCGAGGAATTTTTTCAATTTAAAATATTAGGATTCCCTAATAATCATATGATTATTTTCACTGAAGAAAAGAAAGAAAAACGATTTGAGCTAATTCGGATCTCACATTCAAATCGAACGGCAACCAATCAATCTTACGTTTTACCTTATTTTCAGAGACAGTACAACATGTGTTTGAAATATTTTCCTTTTCTTTTTCTTTGTTCGAGGTAGTAGCGAGAAGTTGAAGAGCTTACATCCCCAAAATTTAGAGTCATAAAAATATTCATAATTGAACTATATTAGAGAGAAAGGATAATATGCTCCTGCAGAAGCATAGAATCATCTCACTTAATTGTGTATGATATACTTTTCCTTTATACTGTAATTTGATCTTAGTTTATGTTATTGGGAAAGAGTGTAGGGGTCTTTAAGAGCAAATCCCTACAAAACCGGTAGAAAATTTTCCGGCAACGTTTGGCGTGTCCTGATAATTCCAAGCATGGATATTGGTGGAGACGAGTCCTCGTTTGTACAAGGATATGTTAAATAAATATGACCCCTAATTTTATAAGGCATTGTAATGTGAACCAAGAGTTTTTGCTCATTTAGCCCATTTTTTTCATTTCCCTACACAAAACATGGGTGGTAATAATATAAAACAGGTCAGGTACTCTTGTTTTTTATTACCAAAAGTATGGATGCAAAAGCAATCCTTTTCTTCCATTATGTTGCCTCCCCTGACTACAAGCTAGATAGATTGGTGGGCTGGATTGTCTTCTCTCTTTATAATGAAAACCTATTGAATAAGATTACGTGTATGGAGGTCATAATCACAGACCTATTGAATAAGATTACGTGTATGGAGGTCATAATCCCTTTTGACTGTTAAATGTAAATTGGGTGTTCAAAACTATACTATCGATCAAACTCGATTTTTGAAAGAAAATTTCTCGAATTTTGTAACGTATTCAAATTGTCGAATTTTATATTGGAAAAGTGATTATTGTGACCTCTATAAAAGGTCTAACATTGCTTTCCGGGGATAGCAGGCATTGAAAATGAAAAAGTTCACCCATTGTGATTCAGAGTTCCAATGCTCTCTCTTTTTCTTTGTTCTTTTTTCTTTGCACACGAATTATAAGACCATTTTGGAAAAATATTTTCTCAAACATGACATGAACACTTGGTGCACAAGCACCCTCTAATAGCTCAAATTTAACTTGCCTTATCCAAGGGCTATAAATTGATTTTATTTTTCTACAAATGTTATCCCTGTGAAAATTATACATCTAAAAATGATGAATCAAATAAAACATATTATGAATAAAAAAATTGAACGAAATAACACTAAAGCATTCAAGGTATTTTAATCAATTTTTTATGCGACTTTTTTTTATTGTCACACCGTATAAAATGAATCTATGCCCCAACTTTCAGTTAAACAATAAGTGTGAAAAAGTCGAAAATACTAAATCAAAGCTATCTGTAGGCCTCGATTCTCCGGACTAAATTTTAGTTGTTGGAAGGGTGCTTGTCTACTATTCAAGCGTCCACATCGTGCCGACCCCCCGTACTTTTCCTTTTTTCAAGATGTGACCTGCTAAATAGTATTGCTGCATATTTTTTAATAAAAACTTATAATATTTATTGCATTTAATAAACTATTCAATCTTAAAAATTTATTTATCGGAAAATCAAACCTTTATAAATAGGGAAAACTAAGTTCATAGAAACATGTGTTTTATGGAAAGGAGAAGTTCTGTTTTCTTCTTTGTCAATATCAATTTAGAATCATCTTTTATTTTTCAGAATTGCCAACTGATTATTTCTGTCCTTTAGGAATTTCAATTGTATTTACCAAAGTCAATGGAAAATAGTTAATGGAATTTATTCAACTGAGTAAGTTTGGGAGAACAAAATTTGTCACCATGTCATTGCTGGCAGCTAGTGAAGTGGTTAGGAGCCTGTGCTTGTGTGCAGCAAATCCCGGGTTAGTTTGCTTTGACCTATCAACACTTGCCATGTAGCCCTATTTTTTGGATCTTTGTGCTCGGCTAGTATTTGGACCTGGCCCTCATAGATCAGAATATTTATCTTGGTGCACCAAGTTTGGCTACTAGCCATAGACTTATTTGGAAGCATAAGTTGGGCAGAGGAGGAAAATGGTAAATGAATTTGGGATCCTTAGCTCAAGCCTAATTTTGACCTAATATTATGTTGATGGCTGTATTTAGAAGCATAGCCCAGAGTATTAAAAATCGGATTCCGACTCGGATCACATGATCAGATGATTCTAGGGTTCCTCAAACTAAAATTACCCGCCCACCAAATTAGAGCTGAGTCAGGCGATCCTAAATCAGTTCAACGATTCTAAAACCCTGGAGCACCTTTAGTCACCTACAATTTTGAGAGATAATGGTGAGCATTAAGTATCAATGTAGACATATTTTAGTGGATGAGGAAAGCAATTCCCTTTTGATATTCTCAAACAAAAGCCCTTTATGTTAGTAATCTATATGTATCCATATAACATATTTTACTCATGAGTATTTCATGTGTAGGTACATCTACCATGAGTCCTTTTATGTATGTTTCCTTAGAGAGAAATACCCAGATGCCGGGACAATAATGCATGAGTACTCATATCTATTTGTGCCTTGGAAGTGGGTCCATTTTGGCAACTATTTCCATCATCTTGGGATAAGCCAAGAAATAAATAAAAGTGGCTCAAAACTCAACTTTTGTGAGCCTAAAAAGAGGGCCCAATAGCAACAAAAGGGGCCCATGAAAGACACAAAGCCCCTGTCTTTTTGTCAATTTTAAGGCCTGCAGGGTGCACGCAACGCCCCCTCCATGTGTAAGGCATGTTCTCCCTGCCCTTTCGCCGTTGCTTCTCTTTCTTCCCCCCTCCATAGCCATGGTTGTGGAGAAAGAGAGAGAAATAAGTACAGAAAGAGAGAGACATGGGAAATAGCTTGAGGTGCTGCATAGCATGCATGTTGCCCTGCGGAGCTCTGGATGTGGTGCGCGTGTTGCATGCCGATGGCCGGGTGGACGAGTACAGAGGCCCGATAACGGCCGGCGAAGTCATGAAGGCCAATCCCAAACATGTGTTGGCTCAACCAACATGTCAGGGACTTGTTCAGAAGAGCTCCATTGTGCATCCTGACCATCTCCTTCGCAAAGGTAAGATTTATTTTCTCATTCCCGCTTATACCCTTCACAGAAGGCCCAAGAACAGCACTCATAGCCAAAACCACAGCCACAGCAACAACAACAACAACAACAACAAAACACCGAAGAACGATAGCCACAGCCAAAACCCAAATCAAAACCGGAGCCGAGGCCACAACCACAACGATGAGAACAGTAGTAGCTATCGAAGCAGTGATGATGACAATGGCAAGGATGTCATGGTTAATAGGCCAAAAGTTGAGACGAGTGAATCCAAGCCAGAGAGAGGCACACAGAGGGTGCATAGAAGGCGCCTATCAGGTCAGGTGGGTGCCTGGAAGCCGGCACTGGGTAGCATCTCGGAGACTGATAGCGTATTATGATTCATGGTCAAGTTCAGCATTTTTCATAGGAAACCATGTAAAGATGAAATATCCATGGCAATTGAGATAGACGTTAGCAGTCAAATTTTCCAGGAAATGACTGAATAAGGATTTGGGATGATTCTGTGACTCAATTTTTTCAGGCTTTTGCAGCCTCTCTCTCTCTCTCTCTCCCTTCTGTGCCAAATTTTTCAGGCATTTCTGCCTTTGGGTCTGTGAGTCTCTGTCTATTTGCACATGTGTGCCTAAATCTTTTTCAGGTCATGGCTTGGGTTAAGTGATCTTCTCTTTCCAACCGTGTGAGAAAATTCATAGTGCCAGATTTCCAATGGGATTCCAAACCAGGATTTAGTGCTGCAATTGTCAACAACGAAACGACTCAAACCTGGTGCCCAATCCCCCAAGAAAATTACTCATTGTGTGTGGGATTCATCAAAACTAATGATTCAGATCTTGATTTTGTTGCAGTGGATGCTTTGGATTTCAAAAAGGAAGCCTTTGATTGTGAAAGTAGAGTGCTTTCAAATGGATAGAGACAAATCATAAAAGGAATGGATAGGAATTGTAAGTCTTAGTAAAGAATGAAGCTTTTTCTTTTTTCATTTCATGGTAACAGGAATTGTAAGTTTCAGTAAAGAATGAAGCTTTTTCTCTTTTCATTGTAACAATCATGATATAGCTTTTAGGAGGCTACCATGTTTGTTGGCTCCCCACTAAATGGAAAATTCCAAACCAAAAAGAGACAAAGAACAAAATATTATCAGTGGAGAATCAATAGCAGCATACTCATTATTGTCCAAAGAATAACAAGTATTCTCCTCAATCTGTGCAGATTATTTTGTTTAGTTTTTCTTTTTCTTTATGCATGTATAGTACATAATAGAAAGGAATACATTAAGACTAGATTTAGCTTTGGTACAAAAAGGTCATGATCAGTTTTTTTTTTACCATTAGACAAATTGGATAGCTCGGTTTCACTACGGGCTAGCTTAAAAATGCTTTCTTCAACTTTGTAATATATCTTTAGCATACAATTTCACGTCTAATAGCTAAAAGTGATTAATACTTTTTAGGACAAAAAATAAATGATCTCATATTGTACTGTATCCCAAGGTTACAAAGTGTTGATAAAAAGTTTACCCGCCATGAGTAAACGTGGTGCTATGCTTTATCTATTTTATGTTCGGATCCCCTATTAAATAACACACTTAGAAGTACGGATCGACAATCTGGTCTATCGAACTGATTACTAAAAAAATAAAAATTGGAAAAAATTAATAAATAATAATAATTGGGGCTGATTTTTACGAGTTCTCTGACATGACTAGAGAACTGGCCATGTCATGGGGGGCAACCTGCCAGTTCCTGATATTTTGTGGGAACCAGTTCATCCCCGACGATTTTCTATTCAGATCTGCCAATTTCCATCAGTATCAACATTTTTAAGAAAATTAAACTCATCCTTTAAACATGCCTAGTTCTCATATTAGTTATCAATCCTCAAGGACTGGAATGTTTGCTTATTTATCACAAATTAAGTTAATGAGGGGCATCACTTTCCCTTTTCCATATTGAATTAATTACAAGGCTTTTGTCTATCCATGCTGCTACTTGTTCTACTACACAATATTCATCCATTCTACTCTCTGGTAAGCAAAGCAACAAAGGCCTTCTTATAATATAGCTCTAACAATGAATATAAGTTGGACTAGATCTGCTGCTTGATCTCCAATGAAGCAACCTTGATTCTTGGATCAAACCTTTCATAATAGGGATGGTCTACAAAGAGTATATTTATCTTTTTTACATGGAGGTCACAATCATTCTCACTAATTAGATATCAAATTAGATAGCTTGGGATGAGTCACGAAGTCCGAAAAATGATTTTTTTTTAACTTTCTGTCGATTCAATGACACTCTTACAACCATCCATTTTGAAATTTAAGGGAAAAAAAGAACCTCCATATACAAAAGATGAATAGTCTCTTTGTAGATAAACCCGAGATAGTTATATACATTATTATGTTCTCTTTCTATTTTCTCACTCCCTGTTTATCTTTTCTTTCCAAGCTTGCGTTAATGCTTCCCTCTCACTTACCTTGTTGACTCCTCTCTCACTCTCATCTTTTCCCTTCAGTGGAAAAATAGGAGTCTTTCCAGCTTGTACCTATTAAACTCAATGGTACCAACTACACATTATGGGCCTCAGTTATGTAGAATGTCATTCATGGAAAAGAACTCATCGAATACATAAATAGAACCCAGAAGAAACATGATGAGCTAGGAAAAATAGAAGAATGGGGCATAAATAATGGTAGAATTATAACATGGCTGGTGGGATCATCAGAAAGTAATATAGGGATTAATCTGAGCAATTTCAAAACTGCTCGAGAAACATGAAATTTCTTGAGGAAATTTATAATCAGACTAACTAAGCATGCCAGTAGCAGTTAGTAAATGAACTTCGCTCCCTCAGACAAGCAGAGCAGTCCATCAGGACTTCTACTCTTCCATTAAGACACATTGGGATGCTCTACGATTGAAGATGGTACTAGCTCAGAAATAATTGCTAATTATCGAGAGGAATTTCAAGTTATTAAATTTTTAATAGCACTCCGTTCAAGGTTTGAAAGTGTCAGAAATAGCCTTGCCCACAGAAGCTTTCTTCCCACTCTGAATCAAGCTCTTTCTGAATTAATTGTAGAAGAAACCAAGATTAGATCTTTTAACTCAGGTTTTAAAGGAGAAACACTTTTTGCAGCCACCCAGACTCAAAGATCAAATGTGCTTAAACCACATCAGCGTAATTCATATTATGTCCCTCCCAAGAACATGTCATCTGTCAAATATAATTATTATAACGAACTGGGATACACCAAATACACATGCCCCAAGAAAAAGAAACTCATCTTCGCTAATGTTGCGATACAAGTCAATCATTGCTCAAGTACCACTAACTCAAACTGGATATTAGTCTCACTCCTGCTTCACCATCTGTAACATTTACACTTGAACCAGTACAGTCTATGTTTTCTCAGTCACATCTAGCCTCTGAACCTACCCCCTCTTTCTCATGTAACTCTGTTTCTATCACTAGGCTGATCGACCCAGGAGTTTCCCATCATATAACCTCCAATGTATGTACTGTTGATGGAGCCATTATGGAAGTTTTAAAAATGGGTTCCATATCTCTTACATCTGACCCTTCTCGTAAATTAAGGGTTTCTGATGTTGATCATCTTCCTTCCCTTGCCATGAATTTATTGCATGTCGGTCAAATTAATCGTTTGAACTGTAATGTTATTTTTTCTCCATCTTCTTGGTACATATAGGATTCGCAGTCAGGGAAATCGATTGGGACTGGACGTAACGTTGGAAATTTATACTACTTGGACTATCTATATATGTCAACCTCATCTTTATGTGATGTTTTCACTGTTGATGACGTATCTTTATGGCATCAACGTCTTGGTCACATCTCTGGTTCTCGTTTACAGTTTTTATTTTCCCGCAGTGTGCTTGGTACTATTAAAAATAAATTTTTTACTGATGTCCAACATTGTACAACTTACAAATTCGCTAAATCTCATGATTTACCTTTTTCTCGAAGTACTTCTATTTCATCTTTTATGTTTGATTTTGTTCATATCAAGGTATGGGGTTCTACACCGATTCTATCTAAAGGAGGGTTCTGATATTTTGTAACCTTTGATCACACTCGTTATAAATGGGGTCTTTTTATGAATAATCACACTGAATTTTATAAAATTTTCACCCAATCTTATTCATATGTAGAAATCCAATTTTCCACTAAGATAAAAGCCCTACGCTCAAATTCTAGAGGGGAATATATCAGTGGGTTATCCCAACAGTTTTTGGCTAATAAAAATAATGAACACCAAAACAACATGTCCTTATATACCAGAATAAAAAGGTGTTGCCCAACGTAAAAATCGTCATATCTTGGAAACCACAAGATCCCTTCTTTTGTCTACATCAGTCCCAAAAGAATTTTGGGTAGAAGCTATTTGTGCATCAATCTTTTTCATCAACATCATGTCATCCTTCATTTTATCTGGCAAAACACCTTTTCATAAGCTCTTTACACGATCACTCGATTATTCCCTCTTCCGTATATTTGGTTACACTTGCTTTTGTCTTGTTACCCCTAACAAAAACAGATAAGTTATCTCCAAAAACTTTCAAATGTCGCTTTATAGGTTACCCTGATCATCAAAAATGATATCGATGCTATTACCCCGTGATCAAAAGATTTTGGGTATCCAGATATGTGGTGTTTTCTGAGCACATTCCATTCTTTGAAAATAAAAATGATACCTCATCCTCTCACCTTTCTTTCTTGGTCACCTTCTCTTATTTTGTTCCCAATTCCTCTGGTTATCCTAACCGTGTCCCTCCATCTGAAGCCCAAGAAGGAACTCCACCACCTCTTGCTGACAGTCCTGATCATAACCCTATACCTACTGATCTTTCTGCCGCTTCTTGCTCCTAAATAGAGCATCCAGGTATCTGTCTCACCTGCTCAACTTACTGACTATGAAACCTTCTTACCTCAGCACCAAGCACTCTTTGCTTTTGTTCATTCTTTTTTTGAACGTCAAACTTATAAAGACGCTACAAGTCAACCTGAGTGGCAACAAACAATGGCTGATGAGTTGAATGCTCTCGAGCGTATGCATGCTTGGGACTTGACACCTCTCTCAAAAGGAAAAACTATTGTATGTTGTAGATAGATATATAAAATTAAAACCAATGCAGATGGCAATCTTGAATGATACAAAGCCCGCCCAGTGGCAAAAGGTTACAATCAACAATATGGCATTGACTTTTGCAAAAACATTTGTACATGTCGCTCATATGCTTATAGTTCATACACTAATCTCAGTAACTTCTGTTCAGCAATAGCCCCTCTATCAATTAGATGTCAAAAATGTTTTTTTAATGATGATATTGATAAGAAAGTATATGTGAAGTTACCTTCTAGCATTGTGGATTCTAAAAAATGAGTGTGTAAACTTCGACGGGCCTTATATGGACTCAAACAAGCATCTCGTGCTTGGTTTGAGAAATTTCGTAATGAAGTTCTTTCAGTTGGATTTCGACAAAGTCATCATGACCCAACCCTCTTTGTGTCTGAAACTTCTAAAGGACGAGTTCTCTTGTTACTATACGTAGATGACATGATTATCTCTGATAATGATATAGTCACAATTCACATTATCAAACAGAAGTTCAATAACACCTTTTGAAATTTGGGTTTCTTGCAGTATTTCATTGGATTAGAAGTTGTCTATTCTCCTCGTGGCTATCTGTTGTCACAACTAAAATATTTTTCAGAGATTGTTTTTCAAGCTCGACTTCAAGATGATACAAAGAAAGTTGATGCCCCTCTTGAGGTCAATGTCAAATTTCGAGCTACCAATGGAGAAGCTCTTCTTGACCCAACCTTTTATAAGCAATTGGTTGGGAAATTGATATATCAGACAATTTAGCACCCATATATTGCTTATGCAGTACATATGGTTAGTCAGTTTATGAGTGCTTCGAGTTCTGTACATCTCGTTGTCATTTTACACATCATTCATTATATCAGGGATACCCATCACCAAGCATTATTTTTCTCCTCTTCTACCTCACT